GTTTTTATGTCTTTAAGATATGCTTGTAGTCAAAGTAGCTGATTGGATTCATTGGGTTTAATGGACAAATATAATTGTGTGTCATCAGCATAACAATGAAAATTTATCCCATGCTGTTTAATAATTTAACCCAATGGAAGCATATATAAAGTAAAGAGTATTGGCCCAAGCACTGAGCCCTGAGGAACTCCATGACTAACTTTGGTGTATGAAGAAGATTTATTATTTACATTTACAAACTGGAATCTATCAGATAGATATGATTTAAACCATTTTAGAGCTGTTCCTGTAATCCCAATATCATATTCAAGCCTCTGTAGTAAAATATTGTGATCGACTGTATCAAATGCAGCACTGAGATCTAACAGGACCAGTATAGACACAAGCCCATTGTCTGAGGCCTTGAGAATATCATTAGTGACTTTTACTAGTGCACTTTCTGTACTATGATGAGCTCTAAACCCTGACTGAAACTCTTCAAACAGATGATTATTTCTTTGTAGACGTTCACGCAACTGACCTGCAACAATTTTCTCTAGAATTTTTTAGATGAAAGTTAGATTAGATATAGGTCTATAGTTGGCCAGAATTTCTGAATCAAGGTCAGACTTCTTAAGTAAAGGTTTAATTACAGCAACCTTAAAGCGCTATGCTACATAACCATTCATTAAAGACAAATGAAGTAGATCCAAAATGTGGACATTAATTAAGGGAAATACCTCTTAAAACAGTCTGGTTGGCATGGGATCTAGCAGATATGTGGATGGTTTGGATGAGGTTATTATTTTTTGACAATTTAGAGAGCTCAACAGGACAAAACCTGTCCAAACATAAATCAGGCTCTAGTGAAAATTTTAAAGTTGTCTCATTTGACAGGGGACTAGAGATAGTAGAAGGAAGGATGGTTTGAATTTTCTCTCTAATTGAAATAATTTTATTTATAAAGAATCTCATGAAGTCATCACTACTTATAGTTGTAGGTATACATGGTTGAAAAGAAATGGGACTTTTAATTAGTCTAGCAATAGTACTTAACAGAAACCTCGGGTTATTTTTATTCTCATCTATTAAAGATGAGTAATATAAAGTTCTAGCTTTACGGAGAGCTTTTTTACAGTGCCTTGCGAAAGTATTCGGCCCCCTTGAACTTTTCAACTTTTGCCACATTTCAGGCTTCAAACATAAAGATATAAAATTTTAATTTTTTGTGAAGAATCAACAAATAGTGGGACACAATCGTGAAGTGGAATGAAATTTATTGGATGTGTCAAACGTTTTTAACAAATAAAAAACTGAAAAGTGGGGCGTGCAATATTATTCGGCCCCCTTGCGTTAATTTTTTGTAGCGCCGCCTTTTGCTGCAATTACAGCTGCAAGTCGCTTGGGGTATGTCTCTATCAGTTTTGCACATGGATAGACTGAAATTTTTGCCCATTCTTCCTCGCAAAACAGCTCGAGCTCAGTGAGGTTGGATGGAGAGCGTTTGTGAACAGCAGTCTTCAACTCTTTCCACAGATTCTCGATTGGATTCAGGTCTGGACTTTGACTTGGACATTCCAACACCTGGATACGTTTATTTGTGAACGATTCCATTGTATATTTGGCTTTATGTTTTGGATCAATCTTGTTGGAAGATAAATCTCTGTCCCAGTCTCAGGTCTCTTGCAGAGTCAAACAGGTTTTCTTCCAGAATGGTCCTGTATTTGGCCCCATCCATCTTCCCATCAATTCTGACCATCTTCCCTGTCCCTGCTGACAAAAAGCAGGCCCAAACCATGATGTTGCCACCACCATGTTTGACAGTGGGGATGGTGTGTTCAGGGTGATGAGCTGTGTTCCTTTTAGTCCAAACATATCGTTTTGCATTGTGGCCAAACAGTTCGATTTTGGTTTCATTTGACCAGAGCACCTTCTTCCACGTTTGTTGTGTCTCCCAGGTGGCTTGTGGCAAACTTTAAACGACACTTTTTATGGATATCTTTGAGAAATGGCTTTCTTCTTGCCACTCTTCCATAAAGGCCAGATTTGTGCAGTGTACGACTGATTGTTGTCATGTTATGGACAGACTCTTCCACCTCAGCTATAGATCTCTGCAGGTCATCCAGAGTGATCATGGGCCTCTTGGCTGCATCCCTGATCAGTCCTCTCCTTGTTCGAGATGAAAGTTTAGAGGGACGGCCGGGTCTTGGTAGATTTGCAGTGGTCTGATACTCCTTCCATTTCAATATGATTGCTTGCACAGTGCTCCTTGGGATGTTTAATGCTTGGGAAATCTTTTTGTATCCAAATCTGGCTTTAAACTTCTCCACAACAGTATCTTGGACCTGCCTGGTGTGTTCCTTGGTCTTCATGATGTTCTCTGCACTTTGAACAGAACCCTGAGACTATCACAGAGCAGGTGCATTTATACAGAGACTTGATTACACACAGGTGGATTCTATTTATCATCATCAGTCATTTGGGACAACATAGGATCATTCATAGATTCTCACTGAACTTCTGGAGTGAGTTTGCTGCACTGAAAGTAAAGGGGCCGAATAATATTGCATGCTCCACTTTTCAGTTTTTATTTGTTAAAAAAGTTTCACACATCCAATAAATTGTTCCAGACGAACTGTCAGATGACACACCCCTTGCTGCTCTGCCGCGCTTCATTTCACAACTCTCAAAAATGGCGTTTCAACCAGAAACATCAGGGCTTGGCTGCCAGCGTGTCGGAGGATGATTGCTCCAAACTGTAAGGATGGTACCATTTGCTGTTCCTGTTTGTGTCTGTGTGTCCCTTGTGTGTTCTCTTTAGTTTAATTGATGCCACCCTTGTCACAGCTGTTTGTAATCACGTCTCGTTTTGTCCTTGTATAAAAGCTGTCTGTTCTGTCTTGTTCCTCGTCGGGTCGTATTCGTTGGGTATCTGAGTTCTCCTGTGTTCTCCTGCGTTCTCCTGCGTCTCCCCTGAGCTCTCCTGAGTCCTCCCTGAGTTTCCCTCTGAGCCTTCTATTTGTAAGTAAGTTTTGCTGCCACGTCAGCTGTTATTTTGTTCTTTATTCTCTATTAAAAGACTTATTTTTGTAATCTGCCGAGTTGAGTCCTGTCTGCACTACTGGGTTCGTTCCTGTCCACAAAATCCTGACACAAACAATTAATGGGTGGATTAAATTTTTTTATGTGCATAATTTTTATTGGTGAGTGATCAGGCTGTCACAGTATCACTAATTAAAGTGGCATTACAGTGATTTTTTTTACAGTGATTATCCTGGTTAGACATTCATGAGTCTAATAGCCTCAGGGTAGAAGCTGTTCTTCAGTGTAGTTGTTCTACACTTAATGTTCCGCAACCTTCTGGCTGAGGGCAGCGGGGCGAAAAGTGTGTGTGCACTTTTTTTTTAAAGAGGTGAAACAGAGTGTCCAGGCAGGATGGAGTGGATGGAGAAAAGTTTCAGGAGTGATTTGTGACAAAAGGGTGTCAGAGACATGGACAAAATGACAGGAGAAAGAACTGGAAGTGGCAGAAATGAAGATGTTGAGGTTCTTCTTAAAAGTGACAAGGATGGATAAGATTAGGAATGAGATCATCACTGGTACAGCACAGGTTGAACAACTGGGAGATAAAGTTAGAGAGACCAGACTGAGATGGTTTGGACATGTCCAGAGGAGGGACAATAGTTTGGACATATCCAGAGGAGGGACAGTGGATTGGACATGTTAAGAGCGAGGGACAGTGGGTATATTGGTAGAAGGATGTTAGAAATGCAGCTGCGATGAAAAAGACAAAGAGGAGATATATGGATGCAGTTAAAGAGGACATGGAGGTAGTTGGAGTGAGGACAGAGGATGCAGAGGACAAAGATGGAGGAGGATGACTCACTGTGGAGACCCTGAAGGGGGAAAAGCTGAAAGAAGAAGATTTCAAGTAACCTTCCATTAAAGCAATATTTAACTTAGATGTGACTGTTCCGGGAGTTGCTGGCGACTCAGAATTGCAAGATAATAGGCACATTTTCCGATGCAGGCTTCCTGAAGCGTTTGTGAACATCAGGTCACATTTTGAGCCGAGCTACGTTTGAACTGAGTGTGGTTGTCGTGGTTTAAAGTCTGAGTTGCTACAATCTCTGCTCCCTGTCCAGAAGTGGCAGAGCTGCGTGGGGCTGGGGGATTTGGTAGGCGGGGCGCTTCGTTCTGGGCGCCCTCTCTGAATAATGGTAGGGGAAACACTGGTATGTAAATGCAACAGTCATTTTGATACATTCCGACGTGTCTTAACTTATTTTGTAACTTTTTTGTGCGTACACACTGTTCTTAAATGAGGCCCCTGGAGCAAACTTTTGAAAAGACAATAGGATTTATTCTGTTTTCTCACAGCTGGTGAGAAAACAGAACCCTCGCAAATATCCCAAAACATTTTAGAGGCTTTCCTTTGCTGTTTACCAACCAGTAGTCTCAAGCCAGTGAAATATTACAGCAAACCATAAAACATTTATTTTATTTTCCTTTAGAAAATACCTAAACATCATGTCTTTGTGAATAATACTGGGACACTGCATCAAAACCACAAACCCAGTTCAACAAGGGTTTTCCTTCCATGGAGTTGTATTTATTATTAAGTTGTAAAGTTTCATATTTATTAGTTTTGGGCAAACAAATGGAAATACATTAAATTGTGTCTTGTAGATCAAGGTCAAGGTTTCTTTATTGGCATTCGCATTTCATGTGGTGGAACAAAATTGTGTACACAGGATCCCAGTTACATCCAACAAAAATATAAAATGTAAAAGAAAAACAGTAATAACATCTAAGATATGACCTAAGAAAAACGCTAAACTAAGAATACACTAAGCACTAGTAGTACAAAAACAATATGCCGAACAACAGCAGCACAAACATGAATCTGTGCGATGGACTATAATGTTCTTACACATTCATCTGAGCACAAAGGAAGGTTTATTTTTGCTTTGTATTGTTTTTTTATGTGTATGAACTCTGTCTTCATATTTGTCTCAAAGTATGTTGGCAACAAAGCCCCACAGTCAGATGAGATGGGCACATTAACCTCTGGACCATCATCCAACTCTGAGCCTGCACACAACCAGGACGATGACAAAAGGAATAGAGTGTACTCCTTTGTCAAAGCTCAGACAGGTTGGTTTGTTTCTCTCTGCAAACTTGAATCAGTTCAAGTGAAACTTTGAATGTAGCAGCAAGTCTATTGTAATTAGGCTTTATTGTTTCAGATGAATCATGTTTTCAGGGATGTTTTTTTGGTAGGTGGAAGCAGATATTTCAAGTCAGTCAGACAGTCTTTTTTCTAGAACTTTTTTCAGTCACCGTTCACCACAATAGCATGAGCTGCAGAAAATAAATGTTTTCCATGCTTATTTTTTCCTCTCCAATCTGGGCCTGGGTTGAGCTCATGACACTGTTTGATGGACTTTTCTTAGTTCCAGAGTAATAACCTGCTGACATATGACTTTGTTCTTCCAGCTGTAAAGAAGAAGAAAAGGAAAATGGGAATGTACAACCTCGTCCCTAAGAGGAAGACTAAAACAGTGAAACAGGAGAAGGCAGGTCCATTTCATTCTGACTTTCTGCTTGTTTCACTGCCTAACCCCTCACTGACTGTGACCACTACCGCCACACCTCTCTGGTCCTCAGACAGATTGTGATTCTCAGACAGAACCGTCACGATGCTTCAGGCTAACTTAATGGATGAATCGTCAGGCCATTTGAAAATCATCACACATGAAATAGGCATGTCGTGATAAACAATAAATTAATTAATCGCATGATAAATGAAAATTATCAACCTGGTTTTCATTTATCGGCTTTATCATTTCTTTGTCTCTCTTTCTACTGAAGACACTGGATGACAAAAGGCTCGACTCCAGTGCTCTTCACTGACCCCTCCCTTTCTCTTTTTTCTTTAAAATCTGTTTTAACCGTCCAAAATTCCGTTTTTGGATTGTTAAAAGCAGCTAAGCTGAAAAGCTAAGCTACGAGCTAAGCTAACAGGCCGACCTCCGGGAAAAAACCCCCATCTTGTGGAAGCGCCAAAATTCACGGTTGAAACTCGTGCCTTCGTCTAAAAAGTTGTTTTTCTCTGCAAAAGGAAGCTGATAACTTGTTTAATGTTTTTTATTAAAAGCTTTGTGTGAAAAAGTCTACAATAAAGAGCTCAAACTACACTGAGCGTCTGCCATTTTGAGAACCGAAAACAAGGAAGGAGAGACAGCCCATGTCATGTCAAGGGGCCTCCCTCCCATTTTTCTTAAAGAGACGCGCTGCTCGCTCCCTCACTATCCATCCTTCGAGTCAAACAGTCTTATACTGCCATCCAGTGGTGAGATTAGGTACTACACTCAAAATAAATTAACCACCATTTCTTCTTAAATTTGACAATAATTACTAATTATTGTCAAATTTCAAACAATAATATAATTTATCGCAATCATTTCTGAGACAATTAATTGCCTAGCAAAATTTGTTATCGTGACAGGCCTAACAAAGACCCCGATGATGAGAGAAATAAATGGACCTATTGTTCCCTTGCCCGGACGTGGGTCACCGGGGCCCCACTCTGGAGCCAGGCCTGGAGGTGGGGCACGCGGGCGAGCGCCTGGTGGCTGGACTTTTACCCATGAAGCTTGGCCGGGCACAGCCCGAAGAGGAGATGTGGGTCCCCTTTCCCATGGGCTCACCACCTGTGGGAGGGGCCAAAGGGGTTGGGTGCAATGTGGGATGGGTGGTGGCCGAGGGCGGGGACCCTGGCGGTCTGATCCTCGGCTACAGAAGCTGGCTATTGGGACGTGGAATGTCACCTCACTGGTGGGGAAGGAGCCTGAGCTGGTGTGTGAGGCTGAGAGGTTCCGGCTAGAAATAGTCGGACTCACCTCTACGCATGGCTCTGGCTCTGGAACCAGTTTCCTTGAGAGGGGCTGGACAATCTTCCACTCTGGAGTTGCCCCTGGTGAGAGGCGCCGAGCAGGAGTGGGCATACTTATTGCCCCCCAACTTGGTGCCTGTGTGTTGGGGTTCACCCCGGTGAATGAGAGGGTGGCCTCCCTCCGCCTACGTGTGGGGGGATGGGTTCTGACTGTCGTTTGTGCTTATGCAACAAACGGCAGTTCAGATTATCCACCCTTACTGGAGTCCTTGGAGGGGGTACTGGAAAGTGCACCTCCTGGGGACTCCCTTGTTCTGCTGGGGGACTTCAGTGCTCATGTGGGCAATGACAGTGAGACCTGGAGGGGTGTGGTTGGGAGGAACAGCCCCCCTGATCTGAACCAGAGTGGTGTTCTGTTGTTGGACTTCTGTGCTCGTTATGGATTGTCAATAACGAACACCTTGTTCAAGCATAAGGGTGTCCATATGTGCTCTTGGCACTAGGACACCCTAGGCTGCAGTTCGATGATCGACTTTGTCATCATCTCATCTGATCTGCGGCCACATGTCTTGGACACTCATGTGAAGAGAGGGGCGGGGCTGTCCACTGATCACTACCTGATGGTGAGTTGGCTCCGATGGTGGGGGAGGATGCCGGACAGACCTGGCAGACCCAAATGTATTATGAGGGTTTGCTGGGAACGTCTGGCAGAGTGTCCTGTGAGACGGAGTTTTAACTCCCACCTCCGGGAGAACTTCGAACATGTTCCGAGGGAGGTGGGGGACATTGAGTCTGAGTGGACCATGTTTCGTGCCTCTGTTGTCGAGGCAGCTTACCGGAGCGGCAACCCTTGAACCTGATGGTAGACACCATCGGTGAGGGATGCTGTCAGGCTGAAGAAGGAGTCCTATCGGGCCTTTTTGGCCTGTGGGACCCCGGAAGCAGCTGATGGGTACCGGCAGTCCAAGTGACATGCAGCTCGGGTGGTCGCTGAGGCAAAAACTCGGGCATGGGAGGAGTTCGGAGAGGCCATGGAGAACGACTTCCGCATGGCTTCGAGGCGATTCTGGTCCACCATCCGGCGTCTCGGGGGGGGGGGGAAGCGGTACGCCACCAACACTGTTTATAGTGGGAGCGGTGTGCTGCTGACCTCAACTCGGGATGTTGTGGGTCGGTGGACGGAATACTTTGAAGACCTCCTCAATCCCACCGGCACGTCTTCCACATGAGATTCTCCCAGAGTTCCTTAAGGCTCTGGATGTTGTAGGGTTGTGTTGGCTTACGCGACTCTGCAATATTGCGTGGACATCGGGGGAAGTTCCCCTGGATTGGCAGACTGGGGTGGTGGTCCCCCTATTCAAAAAGTGGGACCGTAGAGTGTGTTCCAACTACAGGGGAATCACGCTCTTAAGCCTCCCTAGTAAGGTCTATTCTGGGGGTTCTGGAGAGGAGGGTTCGTCAGATAGTCGAACCTCGGATTCAGGAAGAGCAGTGCGGTTTTCGTCCTGGCCGTGGAACACTGGACCAGCTCTACACTCTCAGCAGGGTCCTGGAGGGTGCGTGGGAGTTTGCCCAACTGGTCTACATGTGCTTTATGGACTTGGAGAAGGCATTCGACCGCGTCCCTCGGGGGACTCTGTGGGGGGTACTCTGGGAGTATGGGGTACCGGGCCCTTTGATTCGGGCTGTTAGGTCTCTATATGACCGGTGTCAGAGCCTGGTCCGCATCGCCGGCAGTAAGTCGGGCTTGTTCCCGGTGAGAGTTGGACTCCGCCAAGGTTGCCCTTTGTCACCGATTCTGTTCATAACTTTTATGGACAGAATTTCTAGGTGCAGCCAAGGTGTTGAGGGGATCCGTTTTGGTGGCCTTAGGATTGCGTCTCTGCTTTTTGCAGATGATGTGGTCTTATTGGCTTCATCAGATCGTGATCTACAGCTTTTGCTGGAGCGGTTCGCAGCCGAATGCGACGCGGCCGGGATGAAGATCACTTCCTCCAAATCCGAGGCCATGGTCTTGAGCCGGAAAAGGGTAGAGTACCCTCTCCGGGTCAGGGAGGAGGTCCTACCCCAAGTGGAGGAGTTCAAGTATCTTGGGGTCTTGTTCACAAATGAGGGAAAAATGGAGCGTGAGATCGATAGGCGGATAGGTGCAGCGTCTGCAGTGAAGCAAGCGCTGTACAGGTCTGTCATGGTAAAGAGAGAGCCGAGTCAAAAGGCGAAGCTCTCAATTTACCGATCGATCTACGTTCCTACCCTCATCTATGGTCACGAGCTTTGGGTTGTGACCGAAAGAATGAGATCTCGGATACAAGCGGCCAAAATGAGTTTTCTCCTCAGGGTGTCTGGGTAGAGACAGGTTGAGATGCTCAATCATCCGGGAGGGACTCAGAGTAGAGTCGCTGCTTCTCCACGTCGAGAGGAGCCAGTTGAGGTGGCTTGGGCATCTGTTTAGGATGCCTTCTGGACGCCTCCCTGGTGAGGTGTTCCGACACGTCCCACCTGAAGGAGGCCCAGAGGAAGACCCAGGACACGCTGGAGGGACTATGTTTCTCGGCTGGCCTGGGAACGCCTCGGGATTACCCCGGAAGAGCTGGCCCAAGTGGCTGGGGAGAGGGAAGTCTGGGCCTCCCTACTTAGGCTGCTACCCCCACGACCCGACCCCGGATAAGCAGAAGAAAATGGATGGATGGATGGACAGGCCTAACATGAAATAAAAGTGAAAACAGAAGCACAGTGTGGATCTGCTCTTAGACACTGAGTCTTGATGTGCACAGATATGGACCATTCATTTTGACACATATAATTAGATTTTCAACAATCCCCCCCCCCCCCCCCCACACACACACACACACACACAGAACACACGAGACCTCCTTCATGGATGTGATGTTGGTGAGGTTTTGGTAAATGAGGCAGTGCTGACTTGAAGACTTCCCTCGCTGCAGGATCGTGAACGTTGTGTTGTTACACCGAGGACTGCACATGTAAAATGTCACTCTTGCTTTCACACAGAAAGAGGAGGCCAAAGCTGGTATGGGGACAAGCCAGGCTGCAAAGGGCCCATCCACCGTTCAGCCAAACACAGAGAAAGCTGTAGAACAGGCAGGCAGCAAGGAGGAGCTGCTGGTGGAGGGGGTCGAGTCTGTCGATTATACGGAGGTGGCTTTGGACTGCCTTGACCTGAAGGCTCAGGAAGAGCTGCTCTCACCCCCTCGTTCAGGTGATAAATACAACTTACACTGTAGTTTGGCTTTGTAAGACTGTTCACAAATCAGCATGGTGGCTTTCTTCTCTGCAGCTCCCATTTGTATTTCCTGCTGCTGAAACACAGGAGCAATGTCCTGAAGCTGCTCAATAATCCATGTAGATCAATCTAACCAGGTGGAGTAATGTCCTCTGGACGGATTCTTTGTTGAAATGTTTCGTCTTTTACCAAAACACTTCAGCAATGCTTTTACCTTTCTTTGACAGACTGTTAGCATAATGATTCATTAAACACTGCATACATTTAATGACGATGATGCTCTGAACATATTAACGTTTAATACAAAGTTAGATTTTAGATCTAAAGATCCTGGGGAGGTGAGGGAGAAGTGCTCTGACTGCAGCAGGGAGTCTCTGTCATCCTGACCGTCTGTGACTACTCATTAGCTTTTCAACAATTACCCCCCCCACACACACACACACACACTCACACACAGAACACACGATGCCTCCTTGGATTCTGTCCATTGTGATGTTGGTTGTTGATCTAACCACTCAGGCTGAGTGGTTAGAGCAGTCGTCCTCCAATGCGAGAGTTGGGGGTTCAAATCCACCAGCAGTCACATGTGGAAGTGTCCCTGGGCAAGACCCTGAACCCCTCATAGCCTCTGATGTGTGTTCCATCAGTGTTTGAATGTGATCTAAAACACTGATTAATCTCTAGAATACATTTTAATTCAGGAATTTTTCAGTGGATGGTCCGCTACCCCTGAATAACATTTAGACCCAGATTAATTCAAGATGGCCTCAACAGCCAACTGACCTTAGATAACACCACAATGCATGTCAGTCAGTTTTCTAGATAGTGAGTAAAACTCTGAGTTGGTAGTAGCAGAGAGTGGTTCCCAGCACTGATCGCAGTGTGGCGTCTCATGTTGTTGTGTAAGATTCTGTCACATAAGTCTGAAGACCGTGGGCGGTTGTTCCTTCAAGGAACACAAGAGTTTTCATCATGAATGCTAACGTAGGAGCCTTCTGTTTAATGTGCAGGTATGGCAGGAGATGCTGAGGGGGAGGAAGCAGACATGGCCGAGGAGTTACCTCTATGCTGCTGTCGTATGGAGACTCCTAACAGTGGAGGGAGCCCGTCCACACTGGGTCTAGTCTGCATGGCCACGGACAGCTCAGATGGAATGGTAAAAATACATTACCAGCAGTTTTAAGGTTCTTTATTGTCATTCGCATCACATGTGGTACATGAGGTGGAACGAAACTGTATACTCAATGTCCCAGTTACACCCAATATAATAATAAAAAAAAAATGTATAAAAAGAAACAGTATATAAGGATCTAAGATATACACTTAACACTAATAATGTAAAATAAAACGGTGCAATAAACAGCAGCCTGAACATGAATCTGTAGTAAGCAGCTGGGTGTGAATACAGCATCTTAAAGGCAAGAAATCAGCAGCATGAATATAGTTACATATCAGCAGTTAAAGTGGCATTACATTGATTTTTCTGGTTAGGGATCAACTCAAAGAGAGACTGCAGGTGAGTGCATCATTTATTGTACACTTCCTGTCTTGAGCGCGCAGCAGCTCAGCTGTGAGCCCCTCTCACAGGCGGTCAGGATCACAGAGACCCCCCACTGCAGTCAGAGCACTTCTCCCTCACCTTCCCAGGATCTTTAGATATAAAATCTAACTTTGTATTAAACGTTAATATGTTCAGAGCATTGTCGTCATCATACGGACATGTGCAGCGTGCACCTGTCTCCAAACTCCTGGTCCTCGAGAAACAATGCTGCCACAGGAGCGCTCAGCCTGTTTGAGTGTCTCTTTGTGAGACTGGCTGTTTCTGTTGCTTTTGAGTTTATAATTAAACAAGATTACAGCATACATAATGCAGACCCCCCCCCCCCCCCCCCAATTGAACTGGTGACATTAGTTGTAATCGCCTGCTTGCCAGATTAAACAATAGATTTATTACCAGGGGGATATTGATGATGACGTACAGCATCATTGTAGTTAGTTTAAAAAAAAGTTAACTACAAAGAGGATTGCTAACATAGTTAATTCTTTCCAGTATGCTGTAAAGAATGCTGTTGGATGCTGTCTATCATGGTGCGCTAAGATTCATAACTGGCTGTAACTATCGTACCCACCACTGCACCCTGTATTCACTGGTTAACTGGTCATCATTAACTTCATACAGACTCTCTCACTGGTACATTTTCATCTTTAAATCACTTCTTGGTCTGCTGCCTTCATACATCTCCTACATGTCTCTGAGTGAGTGCAGCTACAGTGTGCGCTCTCAGGACATTAGTACATGCAGTGTCCCCTCAGTGCTGCCTGAACTAGGCAAAAGGGCCTCCTCCTACTCTGCTCCTGTTTCCTGGAATATCTTGTAAAAGGACCTGAAGCTCTCGACTTTGACCTCTCAAAAAAGTGACTTTAAACATCTGTTAAGTTCATGGTAAAAACCAATGCAGACCTGTTCCTGTTTTTAGTTTTCTACATCACCTTACAACGTAGCTGGGTTTTTTTTAGCTACTTTTCCTTATGATTGTCCTTTTGGTTGACATTTTATTTTAACTTGTTAAGAAATTTTTTAAATTTGTACGCATCTTTTATGATTGTCTATTGTTGTCGATGTTGTCCACTATTGTCATCACTCTTTGTTGAAAAAATTCAGGTCTCACTTGTAAATGAGTCCCTGAGGCTCATTGGGATTAACCTGTTTAAATAAAGGTTGAAAAAAATAAATAAAAATAAATGACACGAGGGTGATGTCCAGCACACATTGAATGCATCGTTCTGCTTCAGCACGGCTGAGTTTTGCTCCGCCTCTTTTGGTTCTGCTCAAAGCTCACATCAAAGCGGGGCGTGGCGCTTCACCTGTGACTGGTGAACCGTTAGAGGAAGGACTGGTCTGTATGGCCATTTCACTGAACGGTCTTCTGAACGAGCCTATTAGCCATGCAGGAGAATAAAAACATGTCAGTTATTCAGGGAATATCAAAAACGGTCAACCATTTTATTTTGAAAAGCATATATCAGTCCTCTTCCTTTAAAAATGCATTGGGCTTGAGGATCTAAATGGTTCTTGTTAAAGTCTTCAATGCTTCATTAGAGAACATTATACTATGTACTTTTACTACGGTCATGTACAGAGGATACTTGTCTTTACATGAAAACCTTTGGGAAGTGTGGGAAGTATGCAGGAATAAGCTCTTAGATGTATGGCATTGGAGGTTGGGGTTTAACGCTCAAGTAATCACAAGACTTAGAACAAATTTTCCGTCACTATTTTTTTTTTTTTTTTGCTTTATTCCCTACTTCAGCCTCCTACGTGTTCAGGCCTGGGGATGGAAAAATAAAAACAAGAAAACATTTAGTGGCTTCACTTTTATGTCTTACCTTTAACTTGATTTTTACTTATACCTTTAACTTTTATGTTGCCTTTACTTTGCTATAACTTTACTTTTAGTTAATGTTCTAAATCACTACATCATGATGGGGGAGGGTGCAGGAAGTGGTAATATAAAAAGATGATTAGATGACTGCACTTTTTAATTTGGAACTTTCTGTGAAACTTGGTTCAGTGCTGAAATGCACATCTGAAATTTTTGTCTATTTAAGCAAATATGTTTCTAATACTATGAACAAACCATTACATACTTGTAGGATTTTATAAAACAGTCATATACTGGTTATAAACAAGTTGCTGGCAAAGGTTCGTAGGATTTTAAATTCACTTCAGTTTATTTAACCTAATTCTTGGAATACAGAACACACCTGTCTCTCAGCCGCACATATTAAATATAAGATAAATCATATCCTGATGCATGCTCAATAATCCAGGTAGAAAAATCTAAAAAAGTTAAATCTGGTCCTCTGGACATTCAAAAAAACAAAACAAAGCAAAACAACAAAAAAATGTAGAAACGTTTCGTCTCTCATCCGAGAGACTTCCTGAGTCTGAGGTGCTGTATTCAGCTCAGTCTCTTAAATAGCACCTTCTCAGAGTGGATCAACCAGTTTTGCTGCTGACATCCAAAACCAGCTGATCACATGCTCAAGAAGGACCATCAGCCTAACAATGGGTCATTAGCACACTGATGGCTGTTTACTATTCACAGAGGGCTGAGTGATTCTAGCAATCACAGCATTGTAAGAGGGGGACAGTTGAACACGTAGGCCTCCACCCCTGTTTAATGATGGACAATTTCTTTTCACAAAGATGGCCTCCTTTACTCCTCTCTCAAACCATCATTCCTCTCTATCCAGGATGTGCACATCTTCATCCCTGAAAGAGTGACCGCTGGCCTGGAGATGAGTGTAGACCGAAGAGTCCGCAAACCCACCCACACAGACCAGTATTTGCAGTTTGACTCCCATCACCCTTTGGAGCACAAGTTATGAGTCACCAGGACTCTGTATCACAGATCAGACAGCGTCCCCACTAGCTCAAGAGCCAGGCAGAAGGAGAAATCCCACACAAGACAGGCTCTAGAGCAATGTGGATATCCTAACTGGGCCTTCCTGAAAGCAGAGAAGAAACCCAAACAGGACCCCAGTCAGCCAACAGGTGAAAAGGAGGAACCCAGACCCAGACCAGTGGTCATTCCATATGTTGAGGGAGTATCAGAGAAACTGAGACGTTTATTTTCTAAACATAACGTCCCAGTGGCTTTTAAACCCCAAAATACATTACGGCAATGACTGGTTCATCCCAAAGATCCAGTCCCCCGGCACAGAGTAATGTTGTGTATGCTGTTCAGTGTCAGGAGGGCTGTGATCAGTCTTACATCGGGGAAACAAAACAGCCACTGGCCAAAAGGATGGCCCAGCACAGAAGATCAACATCATCAGGCCAGGACTCTGCGGTCTACACTCATCTCCAGGCCAGTGGTCACTCTTTCAGGGATGAAGATGTGCACATCCTGGATAGAGAGGAACGATGGTTTGAGAGAGGAGTAAAGGAGGCCATCTTTGTGAAAAGAAATTGTCCATCGTTAAACAGGGGTGGAGGCCTACGTGTTCAATTGTCCCCCTCTTACAATGCTGTGATTGCTAGTATCACTCAGCCCTCTGTGAATAGTAAACAGCCACGAATGTGCTAATGATCCATTGTTAGGCTGATGGTCCTTCTTGAGCATGTGATCAGCTGGTTTTGGTTGTCAGCAGCAAAACTGGTTGATCCACTCTGAGAAGGTGCTATTGAAGAGACTGAGCTGAATACAGCACCTCAGGCTGAGGAAGTCTCTCGGATGAGAGACGAAACGTTTCTACATTTTTTTGTTTTGCTTTGTTTTGTTTTTTGGAATGTCCAGAGGACCAGATTTAACTTTTTTAGAAGATAAATCATAATTTTGTACATAAATAAGACGCTCCAGTTATTTGTCCGCGGGCATCCACCGTTCATCGTCAGGATCTGCACCCAGTCTGCTCCGCCATTGTGCAGCTTTCTTGTTGTAGTAAAGAATCTAGGGCTGCAACTAACGATTATTTCAATAATCGATTCATCGGGTGATAATTTTTTGTCGATTAATCGATGAATCGGCAAAATAAAAAAACAACGTTTTAATTTCCACCCCTTTATTCCAAAATTGAACATTTGACTGACATAGCAATTCACACAAAAAACAGGTAGCTATTTTACTATTCTGTTAGTAAAAGATTGAATAATAAAAAAATAAAAGTTAGTCAAATAGCTTAAAAAATAAATGTACACAAAAATATATACAAATGTATCTTTATACCTGCACAATATGTAGCTACTTTGTTAAATATGTCCTTGAGGGAAGAGTGTAACCTGGATTAAAAGTGTGGATTATTGTAACCTGGATTAAAAGTGTGGATTATTGTAACCTGGATTAAAAGTGTGGATCATTGTAGTGAAGCTTTCGTCTTCAACCATCGACAGAGGCCTCATGTCAGTGACGATCATGTTCAGGATGTTTCAGTGAAGACAGCTGCTGCTGTGGTTTCCATGATGTCTGTCCATCATGAAGGATGTTGTTGTTTGTTGTTTTCTGGAATGAGAGAGTAAATATGTATTATAGCATAATTTACAGCAACTCAAGAAATGCCTTGTTTCACTTACAGTGTTAGGTTCAGGCGAAAGTAGCTAAAAGAGCAATTACACACACACACACACACACACACACACACACACACACA